TGGGCTATTCCATTTAATATCCGTACCCCCCCTGTCGAGGATCCCTGGAATTCTTCAGGGGTAAAGTGTTTTGAGCTTGGAATTCTTCAGGGGTAAAGTGTTTTGAGCTTGGAATTCTTAAGGGGTAAAGTGTTTTGAGTTTGGAATTCTTCAGGGGTAAATGGTTTTGAGCTTGGAATTCTTCAGGGGTAAAGAGGTTTGAGATTGAAATTTTTCAGAGCTTGGAATTCTTCAGGGGTGAAGGGTTTTGAGCTTGGAATTCTTCAGGGGTAAAAGGTTTTGAGCTTGAAATTTTTCAGGGGTAAAGGGTTTTGAGTTTGGAATTCTTTAGGGGTGATGGGTTTTGAGCTTGGAATTCTTCAGGGGTAAAAGGTTTTGAGCTTGGAATTCTTCAGGGGTAAAGAGTTTTGAGCTTGGAATTTTGGAATTCTTCAGGGGTAAACAGTTTTGAGCTTGGAATTCTTCAGGGGTATGACAATGAAAAACATGTATCCTCGACAGGGAGGGTACGGATATTAAATGGAATAGCCCATTAGCCACAACCTATTGTATTAATTTGACAGCTCTAAACTCAGTTTAAACATTTTTCTTTCAGTTATTTGTTTCGTACGATCAGAAGTTATCCTAAATTTCCCATGTGTGTACGACCTTGTGTTTTTGCGCACAATTAATTCGAAACAATTACTGAATTAGGGCTGTCAAATTAATAAAATACTCAATAGGTTAATTTAAATTTGAAAGGGTCTACTTTTTTTATACACCCTGTATAATAATATGAATGGATATATGTTAATATGATGTCAATGAAATGTCAAACTATTAAAGTCTAAGTTTAGTAAATAACTAGTTTATAAATCCCGTGTAAACAATACCGTACCTTCCAGAGGTTTATTTTTAATATACAGTAATACTGTCAATTGCATGAAGCTGTTATTTCATTCGTGACAGTGAAAGCAGCAATTCGGCAGTCTCTTTGTCTGTAGTTGTCTCCAAATCCAATGTTTCTTCTTTGTCAATGTTTATATTGATATTATCATTATCATTATCATTGCTATTATTAAATTCTACCGATTATGTCGGCTCAATTGTATGAATGAATGTTGGAATTATCTCGGTTCCTTTACCTTCAGTACCTTCGTTTAGGGCACCAGCAGTACTAGTGGCAGTGGCCGTTGGCATGGTGGTACTTTCACGTAAACTTTCTCTAATACATAAGCCGAGTTGTGCTTCTTCTTCGTCTTCATTTTCAGGAATTAAACGAGAATAGTCTCTCGAATAGTTCGAATCATTGCAGGCTGAGCGCGATATACTGTCTTTTGGCCTTGGCCCGACTGGGAACTCTACGCCATATCCTTCTAAAAGACTCTTACTAGCAAACTCGCGCTTTTTACGAGGTTTAGCTTGATGTACTAACGACTTCATTCGCTCGACTGGTGAAAATTCCTCAAGGGCTTCTTCTAGGGTTTCGAGTAGTTCGTGCTTCGGAGGAATTTTGCCGTTAAGGTATTTTTGGCTGTAGCATTGCAAAGCGTAAACGTGTTTTCTTACTAATGTCCAATTCTTGAAACCACTTTCATAGTAAGCCTCATTATTTTCCTGCAAAAGCTCGTTCTCAATTCTATTGTGAATAGATGTTGTAACTTTTTTAGACGCACTTATCTTGCTTTCCAAATCTTTCCGCATCTGTTCCTTTTCGTTTCTAAGTTTACTCAAAGACACCGTATACTGTTTAGCAACATTTTCAGTTGGATGAAATCTCTCTTCGCCACATTGAAACAAAGTGGTGCATGAATCAAACATACATTTTCTTGCGGTGTGATTGAGTCTTAAATGGCAATTGTGGCAGACGTTCCCATCTCCTTGTTGAGATTTCACTAAATTAATTCGTTGTTGAAACGCTGACAATTTTTCGTCCAGTCCATATATTTCGTTATCTTTTAGACGTATTTGGTCCTCCAATTTTTTCACGTATCTTTCAAATGGTGTACTGATATGACTGTCAGTGTCATTCTCAGAACATCGACTTGTAGTTGAAGCAGATTGTTGAAAATGTTGGTCATCGTCGTTGCGAGTTTTACCCATTCTTGATACGAAAGAAAGACATTTTTTACTGGATCTGGTCTCACTAATAGTTGCGGTTTTGGGATCAGGGCACACCCGTTTCTTTAATGGCGATTTAATAGCAATAGGGCTGTCCAAATCTCTTTCTTTTCGTTGTGACGGTGAATGTCCTACGAAAATTTGCAATTTCAATCGCTTTAAATCCGTCCCAGGAACAACTGAAGAAGACGTGATTGCCAGGCGAAGACATCGGGGATCTTTATTCAAAACGACGTAATCACCATCGTGGTTTTCATGTATGCCAAATTCTATGTCTCTTATCTTCGGAATTTCGTTCTTTATTTCATACTCCAATTCTTCATATGTGACTGGCTCATCAATTATGGCACTACGAATTGTTTCATTATATTTGAATTGTATTTGAATTTCAGTCATGTTCAAATTTTTTGTTTAATCGACGAAGGAAAATCAAGAAAGCGCTCGAAATGAATACGTCACGCCTTTTTTTGTGGTTTTTAACAACGAAGTCCCGCCCAGCGAAGTGTTGTTTTGAAAATTGAAATGTCAAACGTACAAGTTTGACCTGTCAAACGTACAGTTTTCATTGGGCAAACCCATGTTCTCAAAACCGGAAACAAACCGTAATTTCGCTTAATGCTTAACGCTTGAATGCAAATGGTAATACGATATCGTATCTAATCTTTGTTTCATCATTAGATTACATTGATATCGAAGGAATATATTCAGAAATATCACATACTCGAACCGACCTGACCACGTAGCTCAGTTGGCAGAGCATTGTGCTAGTATTCCAAAGGTCGTAGGTTCGATTCCCACCGCGGCCAGGCATATTTTTCAAGCTTACCCGGTGTGGATATACACTCAGAGTAACATCACAAACATCACCAACGTTCTGTTCGTGCATTTCAGGAACGTGAGATGGATCTGCGTGACGAAGCGAAACGTCAACGTGATAACGATGAACTGAGACAGGACTTTGCAGAGAACGCCAATTCCTTCCATGTCTGGCTCACAGAGACCAGAGCGGTGATGGTGGACAGCCAGGGAGACCTGGAGGATCAGCTCAAAGTTATTCAAGAGAAATCCAAAGAAATCCAAGAACGTAAAGAAGCATTGTCGATCGTTGAGGATCTCGGAGCTCAGATGGAAGAGGCGCTTATTCTTGATAACAAGTAAGTGGATGAAATATGGAAGGATTCTACTGGTCACTGTTTTGCGAGCGAGATGCCATTCCTGTAATATGCAACTGTCTGATTTTAATTTCACTTGGACAGTCGCGTGTGAGAAGATTGCTTCCAGTTTTACTCAATTAAACACAGCAGATTTTCTGTGGGTACTCCGGCTTCCTTCTGTTGTGACAATAGATTAATTAAGGGTGAGTCAGGAAGAACAGTTTAGAACTGATACAGCCATTTTCGTCCAAGCACAAACCGCAAACATTTTCGCGCGTTTGTTTACGTTTGAAACGGGGCGTTTACCGTTGGAAACTGAAATGTTTCACCGCTCATGTGACGTGCACATTGAAAAGCCTTAAGCTATTTTTGGCGCAACTGTCATGTTTTGATGTGCCTCCGTGCACGTTTCAATATGTCCAAGCCCATGATAATACATTTTAGTCACAAAAAGTATGAATATAAACAAGTTTGGTCGCTCTTACAATATCGTGAGCTTGGAAATACTGAAAAGTACACGAAAGCACATCAAAACATGAAAAATAACTGAATTAGGCTTTTCACTATAACACGTCGCATGAGCAGTGAAACATTCCGTTTCCAACGGTAAACGCCACGTTTCAAACGTAAACAAACGCGCGAAAATGTTTGCGGTTTGTGCTTGGACGAAAATGGCTGTAGAGCTACCCAGTATAAATAAAGTTAGTTTAGTTCAGGTTTCCTCCTGTAGTAACACTGGGACAATAAGAGATGATCCTTACTAGACCTCTATAAGGAGAACAGTTTAGAACTAAATCAACTAATAGAATAAATAAAGTTAGTTTAGTTTAGGTTTCCTCCTGTAGTAACACTGGATTAGTAAGAGGTGATCCTTGCTGGACCTCTAGTAAGAACAGTTTAGAACTGATAGAGCTATCCAGTATAAATAAAGTTAGTTTAGTTTAGGTTTCCTCCTGTAGTAGCACTGGATCAATAAGAAATGACCCTTACTGGACCTCTAGTAAGAACTGATAGAGCTATCCAAGTAATGTTTATAACTATTGCTGAATGGGGTTGAAACAGCCTTGGATGCAAAAATATCCATGTATGTAATGATGTGATATTTATTACTAGGTACACTGAGCATTCAACAGTTGGTTTGGCTCAGCAATGGGATCAATTGGATCAACTCGCCATGAGAATGAGACACAATCTGGAACAACAAATACAGGCACGTAAGATGACAGGTGTACCTGAGGAAACTCTCAAGGAATTCGCCGCCAACTTCAGGTAAGTTTTGATGATACGGTAGAACCATCCTACAGTATCTTGAAATATTTTAGGGAAACGAACAACGGAACAATACGTCGAGATACTGGAGGAATTCTTGATAGCCGGGGACTATCCATCTCTACCATCATTGCCATCACCACCACTATCGTCATCATCATCACCACCATTTTTAATAATAATAATAATAATGATTTATTATCAGAGAGTATCCACTAAAAAAGGCTCTTCATCTGATAAAATTACATTAAATTTACACTAACTATATTGATGATCTATAATGCTAATCCTAATGTTCAAAAATATTTACAATGATTTATGATTAAAATATTTACAATGATTTATGATTAAAATATTTACAATGAAGAGACAGCACGCTCTTGAAGGACGTTTTTACAGAGAGCTCAATATTGTTTGTAGTCCAAACAGTTTCTTATCTCAGTTGGCATCATTTTTTGACAAAACTATACTTCATTCATTTTTTCTCCACATGCAGGCATTTCGACAAGAATAAATCTCAGTTCTTGGACCACCAAGAGTTCAAGTCATGCTTACGTTCACTTGGTTATGATCTGCCACTCATTGAAGAAGGACTACCTGAACCTGAGTTTGAAGCTATACTCAAGACTGTTGATCCGAACGGGTAAGTAGCGTGGCATAGCCTTGTTTACAACTGATCTTTTAATACATGCAGAGTGTTCGTGTTGTATAAGATCACTTGTGATACGTATTCTTCAATAACCTGAAAGGGATGATATTTGGTGAGAAAAATGAACTTAAATTTTTTTGTAAATCAGCAGGGGCTTCCTCCTTTGTGTTTTGTTCATGAATTATTAATAAGAATGGACGACTTGCGCTTTAGAAACATTTTTAATCTGGGAATAACAAAGGAAAGAAGTTATCAAAATTAGAAAGACTGCAAAATTTGGTTGCGAAATGTTGTAAAATACGGAAAATATAGCCCTGCGAAGTTGGCAAATTTGTATACATTTCTATTACGTGCGGTCGTGCGGAAATTGGTAGCTAATTTAGTTACCAATTCACGCACGTAATACAAAAGTATACAAATTTGCCAACTTTGAAGGGCTATATTTTCCGTATTTTACAACATTTCGCAACCAAACTTTGTAATATTACTAATTCCAAGACGCTCTTTCTAGCTGTGGTGATAGATTTCGTTGTTCTTACTTAGATTAAAATTTAGTCTAAATCGCAAGTCGTCCATTACAAGGCATTTTCTCTCCAATAACTTCACCAACACTATCCCTGGGGGCGGTGGCGTCAGAGGAAGCGCGTTTCACCTCTGAGATCGTGGGTTTGATTCTCGCTACGGACTCATGCATGACACTTATGTGAAAAGAGTCAGTCAACGCTCTACCGAAAGTCGTGGGTTTTCTCTACCGAAAGTCGTGGGTTTTCTCCACCGAAAGTCGTGGGTTTTCTCCGGGTACTCCGTTTCCTCCCACAGGGAAAGTTGACAGGGTGGGTTGGGATTATCCCCCTAACTGACCCTTCCACCGTAGCTCTGTTCATTTCAAAACTGTGGGGAACAAAACTTCAGACGTGAATAGACCTTTCCCCTTATGAGTGAAATTTTGATCTAGATATGCCTGGACAAAAATTTCATCACAGCTTGAAAGAGCATCACAAAATTAGTAATATTCCGAAGTTTCGTTGCGAAATGTTGTAAAATGCGGATGATATAGCCTTGCGAAGTTTGCCGTTTTTCAGTCATTTTGTATAACGCACGGGAAATTGATAATCTGATAATGATAATGATCAAACCATAAATCAAACTCATCAATTTCCCATTTCTAATACAAGATAACTGAAAAATGGCAAACCACGCAAGGCTATATAATCCGCATTTTACAACATTTCGCAACGAAACTTCGGGATGTTACTAATTTTGTGATGCTCTTTCAAGCTGTGATGAAATCTTTGTCCAGACTTGTCTAGATAAAAATTTCACTCAAAAAGGGAAAGGTCTATTGTGGAAAATATCTTCATGTTTTTAAAGCAGCTGTTGGAATGATTGCTTTGAAAGTTTCGTTAACCTAGGATTAATTGCTAACCAGCTTTTGAACAACCGACTTCAGAACTATTTATCCTAATTCAAAATGTATATTTCGTACTTTCTAGCGATGGTGTGGTATCTCTGAGTGAATATATGGCCTTCATGATCAGCCGTGAGACAGAAAATGTTCATTCCAGTAAGGATGTCGAAGATGCATTCAAAGCTTTGACAGAAGGAGCTGACAAAGACTTTGTTACTGAACAAGAATTGTATCAGGTATTTATGTTTTCCGGAGGGAAACATCAAAATTTAGTGGGAATGAGCCTCGTACATGTGGAAACCCTACCCTATTGGTGGTTTGCAATCAATTCCTTCAAATTTATAACACAAAAATATGGAGGCCATTTTGGAAGAAAACACGCTCCTAATACAATAGCTGCTAGTGATATTCTTTTGTTAGCTTTCATGTTTTTATACTGGATGAAATAAGTACCACGTCATTTCAATTGGCAATTCCAGCTTTTAATTTATGCGTGCAGGGGGTGACGGGAAGTAAGGTATCATGTTGCTGATTATGTTGAAAAATTTCAATTTAAACTGCCGAAACAACCGAAATATTTCAATATTTACAAGTATAAGCTATCATTTCGTGTTTACACGGCCGCCATTTTTATTTATTCAACATGATCAGCAATATGATACCTTACTTCCCATCACCCCCTGCACGCATAAACTAAAAGCTGGAATTGCCTATTCAATATTCCAACTTGTTCAAATTATTGAAACGAGATGAAAAGAATTTCAGCACTTTTGGGAATAGGATGTTTAAACTAATTTCTCTTTCTAGTCGTTGTCTCGGCCTCAAGCAGAGTACTGCATCCAACATATGAAACCTTACGTCGACAGCCGTGGCCGGGAGGTGCCGAATGCTTACGATTACAAGACGTTCTGTTCCGACTTGTTTGCGAACTAGAGTGTATGGTAGTGTGTGTATGGTATACTTAACCAAATGGTATCAACTGTAATACGGTAATATCCATTCCAATGGGTAATATCACAGGTTTAGAACAATTATAATACCTATATTGCAAGCTCAAGAAAGAAAGACTGTCCCGCCAAGAAGGGGTTTTATTTTCAAATTTACAACAGCGATGGTGTTAGGAAATTGCTCGGAGTTTTTTGTTTAAAATGCTTGATCGCTTTTAGGTTATTGATACTGGTAGTTTTATTTTATTCTTGTTAGTCTTAGATAGCATATGGAATAAAAAGAAGGTCTGTTCTTCTAAAGAATGTCTGCGTGTAATGACTTCAAAGTATGACCGATGCGATAAACCCTCGTCTTAGCGCTGAGAAAAGCTTGGTGCTACACTATAATTGAATAAAATTCTTTGAATATTATCAACATAACCATTCAACTTGCATGGTTATGCCTTTAAATATTATCAGCATAACTATTCAACTTGGATGGTTATGCCGGCTTTGAATATTATCAGTATAACCATTCAACTTGGATGGTTATGCCTTTGATAATTATCAGCATAACCATTCAACTGGGATGGTTATGCCTTGGAATATTATCAGCATAACCATTCAACTTGGGTGGTTATGCCTTGGAATATTATTAGCATAACCATTCAACTTGGGTGGTTATGCCTTTGAATATTATCAGCACAACCATTCAACTTGGGTGGTTATGCCTTGGAATATTATCAGCATAACCATTCAACTTGGGTGGTTATGCCTTTGAATATTATCAGCACAACCATTCAACTTGGGTGGTTATGCCTTGGAATATTATCAGCATAACCATTCAACTTGGGTGGTTATGCCTTTGAATATTATCAGCACAACCATTCAACTTGGGTGGTTATGCCTTGGAATATTATCAGCATAACCATTCAACTTGGGTGGTTATGCCTTTGAATATTATCAGCACAACCATTCAACTTGGATGATGCGCCAGATCGATATTCTGACAGAGTTGTGAGCTTGTTTTGCCCACCCGAAAGGACGTGGGCGAAGTTAATGTTTCTTTTCCCAAAATTGGGGTGGGATTTCTGGACTTCGCATTTTCACTAACTTTCAGTTTCGAAATATAAATGTACTGTAATTTGTAAAATTTTCAGCAATATTTTCGTAAATTTATCAAAAATTTTCCTACAGTAACGCCGTTTTGTTCGCAAATTTTCATTTGATGTGAAAACTTGAAAGTCAAATAAACCTTTAAATGAAAACTTGAGTTGAATGTAAAACTTTATACGGGGGGGAGGGGGGGTGTGAGAGAAACGGAAGTACTTATTATCCCAGGACTTGCGTAACTGCTAAATTAATGAATGCTTTGATCGTCTCGTAATTCGTAAATCATGATACAGGAATAATGTTTCCTATACACATTCTGACTCGGTTTCACACGAAGAAATTTAATACCAAGGCGTTTCAGAGTTCGTGGGCAAAATAACAAAAACGTGTGGTAGAAATTATCGACTCCTGTTCATTTTGTGTTGACAGTGTGCTCACACATTCGGGAAGGTTGCAGACAAGAACAGAAAGACGTACAAGGTTTACAGTGAAATTATGGAAACACTTGTAGAGGTATGAAGCTTAATTTTATCTTATTTTGAAACTCTATGATTAAGTTCTTTTAAAAGCATTTTACATAGGATCAGCTGGTAGGTATTGTAATAAATTCGCCTGAACCAATTTCCAAAATATAAGCTTGTACGTGACATTTTATACTCTGATAACAAATTATCAAGCCAGACAGCATTGTTTATTTGTAAGTGTTTTAAAGCGAATTATCCATTTTCAATTACAGTACATAGCAACAATTAATGTTCAGAGCAAAAACGAAAGTTAAAATGCAGTCTATTTGAAATGCACGAAGACATTTAAAATATTAAACTTCCCGTCAACAGGGAGTCTTCCTGGTACAAAATATTTTGGATAAAATATTTTAAAAATTGATAAAAATAGCAGCAAATGTTGAAGTATTATTAAAGAGTATTTCTAGCTTTTCTTGCACGAAATTGTTTGCATAAATGCGATTTTTTGTCCATATAAACATAATTTAATTCTACTTTGGGGGAGTGCATTTATCTGAATTGTGACAGTTGACACGTTTGTGATACATACATTCCAACACGTACAAACTGAAGTTCATTATATATTTTATTTTACATCAACATTTTGGTCAAATTAGTTTAGTAATTACAACTAATGTAACAATTTATAGTAATATTTTGAGAATAAATATACAACATTAGAAATTAACTATATTTATAATAACAAAAACAATTTAAGAATATTAATAATTAAACAAGTTCAATCTAGCTATTACTAATATTTACTTTTGAAGATTGAACATAAACAAGAACACTCTAGTACAGTATTAGTTCCTGTGCTTGAAAGTCTGGGTCCTTGGGTTTGTCCGGGTGTTTATATGAAGGCGAGCCAGCCTGGGTTACCGAGCTGATTTCATCCTGTGTTGACATGAGACATTTGAGGCAGGCTGGCCCACTAAAACAAACCACTGGCCTCACTGCTATAAATAGTATAATATAAATACATTTTCTCACGAACCTGAAATTCACACTTTTGTGAGCAACTTGAACGGTTATAACCCACAGAGTTTTTCATGGAGACCTTTTAAGATCGAAGTCTGTTGAGAAAGTCTTATTAACAACAATATATTTTCGTGAATATAGCATTTATATGGGAAATTCTCAGCCTGGCCATCCAAGATCTTGGGTCAGTCGAGGCGCAATCTTGCTTAGACAGGCCAGCTCAGTTCCCATATAAACACAAAATGAAAGTTAGTGGGAAATAATAACTAAGGTGGGATCTCACCTAAATTGGGCCAGTTAAGGTACCCGGGCTGGCTCACCCCGTATAAACAGCCCCTTAGTTATGGGTTGTTTGGCAACAGCTAGAGGCATTCCAGTAAGCCGTCAGCACTACTACATTTGATCTAACCTGAGTGTCAGGCCTTTATTTTTCCGCCTTACGCTAAAAGGTGAAAATTGGGCAGAGGAGAGAGATGTGGGCGAAAGGGTGAAAAAATAAAGTTTTACCAGTCTCTCCTCCGCCTGACATTCGGGTTACATTTGGTCAAGTATGGTTAGCATCCTATAACTTAATTTTATTGTCCTAGGGTCAACTAGACTACTTTGAAGAAAAAAACTGGAAAAAGAGGTATTTTGTGATGAAATATGAAATAAGCAGTGCACTTCGATACATTGAGATTTACAAGGACAAAAATTGGCAGAAACAGCTCCCCAGACATGTTGTGAATCTGCACCCGGGATATGAAGTGAGACGAAAGGAAGAACCAAAGAAAAAATATTGCTTTTCGGTGAAGACAACAGACCACACCTTATTTTTGGCATCTGAAGATGAAAATGCTATTAACCACTGGATGGCTACACTAGAAGAATATAATCTAGGTATGTATTAAGGTGTTATGTACTTAGTATGGAAAATAGGAACCATTGGCATACAGGAGCCAAAAAATTAGGGAGTGGCCGAAAATTTTCCCAACATCTGTGAACTTGCTTGACCTGAAAAAAAATTTCTTGTACATTTTCCAAAATTCCTGTCAACAGAGGGACCCTCCCCCAGGGGCGGATTTAGACCGTTGCAACTGTAGCATATGCTACGGTCAGATTTTCCATAGGCCAGTTCTAACATGGATCATAAAATCAATGTAAAATATAATTTAGCAATATTTTGTTTACTTTCCTTGTTTATATTTCAAGGTTTTATTTTATTTAGTTTTATATGTTCTAAAACATTTTATTTTGACAAATTGATGACATTTATAATACGTAACGTTAATTATTTTAAGAATTCCCGCCCGAAAATACGGTTGTAATTGCCCGTTTGCGGGTCATTACGCAATGGACTATAGCTTAGAAAATATCATCCTTCAGAAATACACCGTAGCGTGTTGCCCATATATGATCAATTTTCGCTACGGTCAGATTCATTAAGGTCGAATCTGACCGTAGCGAAAATTGGCATATACGGCATTCTGATTGGTTTGCTACGGTCAAACGTAGCAAACCAATCGGAATGGGGCAAATGCTATAGTTTGCTACGGTGGCATGAAATTGGCTACTGCTCCAGAACGATGGAATATCTGATATTTGTGTTTGGCTCATCAACAACATGCTATTGGGAACCCACAGTACGGTTGTGCGCATTTCGAAATGAAAGCCGTCGTAAAGCTAAAGGATTTATATGCGTCGAGGTAGAAATAAAATCAGATAGTAAAACGAATCATTTCCAGTCAGGTAAGCCTTATGAATGATAAACGTAGCAAACCAATCGGAATGGGGCAAATGCTATAGTTTGCTACGGTGGCATGAAATTGGCTACTGCTCCAGAACGATGGAATATCTGATATTTGTGTTTGGCTCATCAACAACATGCTATTGGGAACCCACAGTACGGTTGTGCGCATTTCGAAATGAAAGCCGTCGTAAAGCTAAAGGATTTATATGCGTCGAGGTAGAAATAAAATCAGATAGTAAAACGAATCATTTCCAGTCAGGTAAGCCTTATGAATGATAAGAGATGCACATTATATTTTAATTTGAGTTTTTACTGTATAGTGTTCGCTATTAACTTCGCTTTATTAAAGTGTTTGTGCGCGTATGTACAGTATATCTGCATGTATTGGAATTAATACGCGAATTATGATATGCGCGTATATATATCGTGTTTTATAGCGCGCTAATATTTGTTTGTAATGCGTATATATTCGTAAGATACGCGTATTCATATCATACGCGCGTTCATATGATATGCGTATTCGTATGATACACGCGTTCGTAGATGATACGCGCATTTCGGTATTCAATTGATAATGATATGCGTATTATACGAGTATCATACCGATATCGTATGTTAAAATATACGCGAGCAATAGTTTACATTTTGAGATCATTTCGGCTTATTTTTGCTTGAGAAATGAATACAATGAGGACAAATTTAATGGTCACATGCAGTGCTCAGAACGCAGGAAATGGCATTTCCGGGCTTCAAATTTCAAAAATTTTCTCGGGGGGGCATGCCCCCGGACCCCCCTAGCTATGTGAGGTCTTGGAAAATGCTACGGTCAGATTTTTGGCTGGATCCGCCCCTGGACCCTCCCCTCTGTTGACAGGACCTTTAGATTGACGTTTGCTGTAAACGTCAAACCATTAACAAAGTGTTTGATATTACAACTATTATAACAGCTTTTACACCAGTTTTGAAATATATTAAACAATTCTTAAACTTGTGCTCTTTAGCAATGATTTAAGAAAGCAGATTAACCTCTAGTCATGTATTTACCAAAGCAGTAAATTAAGATCTGGTTGTTTGAAGTTGATGTTTGGCATATAAATTTTATGCTAATTGAACTGTTACAAGTGCTTGTAGTCGTTAAAGCATGAAATTTATATGCCAAACCACAGTTAATAGGTCTATTAACCGTGGCCAAACGTAAACTTCAAACGCTAAATCTTAATTTACTGCTTTGGTGAATACCTGACTAGTGGTTATATTTTCTTGAATCATTTTTAAATACCACAAGTTTAATAATTGTTTAATATATTTCAAAACTCAGGTGTAAAAGCTGTTATAATAGAGTTGTAAAATCAAAAACTTAGTTAGCGGTTTGCCATAAACGTCAATCTAAAGGTCTCTTATTTTTTTAAACACATTTTGAAAATGTAATTTCTTCCCGCTCCCACCAATTTAATACATGCCGCTCTTCCCTTTGTTCCGTAGTGAAATCATTCTGTGTACAACCCCAAGATACACCAACTATGGCAAGAATCGAAGCAGTGTTTCCATGCCACCTCCAGCTTGTACACTCCGAAGTACGCCTCATTAGTGCCATGGATGGGAAAATACTGGGACTGTGGCCCTTCAAGTGTATACGACGATACAAATTTGTTGGCAATTTGTTTTCAATTGAAGCGGGACGCAAAGCACCTACAGGTGAAGGCATTTTTGAATTTATCTCTAATGAATGCTCTGAGATATACAGAGTGATGGACACTATAATACGCACAAAAGCGGGGAGCACGACAATGAATCGGATTGCATCAGAACGAATCCACAATCAGGTCGAACAAGGGCATCAACCAGTCAAAAAAGTAAATTCAGTACCTACTTTACCTAAACAAGAAAGTCGTTATGACTATGCCCGACCTATACAAACTACTATAGCAAGAACGCCTCCTCCCTCCGTCCCTTTACCAATCCCACCAGAGTTGCCCCTTGCTAAGTCAGACCCCACCTATGACATACTATCTCCTGGCATTGACAGTGAAGTTGATGGTAAATTTTTGAAACATGGTGGTACCCCTTCAGATGACAGTGAATATAATACTCTTCAATTTGAAAATGCTCAACCAAAGGAAGGTCAATCTCCTCTTCCCCGAAGAGCTCCAAAACTTGCTGGCTCACCTGGTAGCTACGATACATTAGTATTTGATGAGGACACTTCAAATAGAGATGAAACATTAAGAGCCCAAGGAAATGATGGACAATATGACACACTTCAGTTTGGCGAAAACAGAGATACTTCATTGATGAGCGATATTCAAGGGATGAAGAATCGGCTCAATGATAATGATCTTGCACACAGTTCAGGCAGTTTTTACAACACTCTGGATCATTCCTCTGGCTCAGTTGGAAGCATATCCAGTAATACGTATGACACTTTAGACACTGGAAACAAGATTCAGTCAGGAGATACATATGACACTCTCGACAAACCACAGCCACCAACTACCCTAGATTTGGGCAGCAACACATATGATGCTTTACAGCATGAGAACCAAAAACCCACAGGGAAAGATTCCCCAGGGAAGCCTATCAAGCCCCCACCCAGAAGGAAACCTCCATCAACACCGCAACAACCTGAAATGCCAGCGAGGAAAATCCCTGCCGGGGTAAAGCCAGAGAAACCGGTCAGACCAGTTCGTAAGAATGTACCTGCAAAAGAGGTCATGGACGACCAAAAGAGACCAAAAGCCAAAAGTATTAGTGATGTGATACAAAAACGGTTAGCCAACCCGCAACCACCTGTAGATGACGGTAGTTATGCTTCGGTTGATCATGAATATACATCAATAGACTATACTAAAGTATCTAAATCAGATAATGATTCTTCTGACATCTATACCGAGCCTAATCAAGACAATACTGAGGCAACACCTATACCCAAACCAGTGCAGAAGCCTACAAAGCCAGCAAAGCCTGCTAGGGGTAACCCTAAACCAATCAAGAATTTATTCAAGAAAGTGCCTCCTAAACCAAAAGCTGAGGGAGATGGTGGTAACTTTGCAAATGAACTTAAGAAAAAATTGGACATAAAAAAGAAGAAAAAAGGACATAAACCTGCCCCAACCAATCAAACTGGTCACCAGACTGGTCAATCCGGTATTGATGATGACATTTATGATGAAATTGACCATTCTCGTGGAACACATTACAGTGAGCCAGACACTTACAGTGAGCCAGGCACTTACAGTGAGCCTGGCCGTTATTACAGCGAGCCTGACCGTCATTACAGCGAGCCTGATCCTTACAGCGAGCCTGCTGTATAGATGGAGATCATCAGACAAAACAAACTGTTTGTGTTACCAGATCTCCGTCTGTCTACAAATACAACAAACAAATCATCTCAGGAAGCTGCAGATTGATAGGGATACAACTACCTGAAAAATTTCAAGTTTTGAGTGAAGGCTTCTTCGTCCAGAAGTTAGTGGAACCGACGAAGGGCCTTCGCTCGAAACGTTGAAGTTCTCCTTGTATTTTTCAGGGAGTTGTATCCCTACCAATCCACAGCTTTCTTATTATTGACGCCACCTACACTGGCACCGCACAGATTGTTCGAAATCATCTTGGCACTGCTGTAACACATGTGGACAAGTTGTAGTTGTAGTGCGCATCAGTATAAATTTGACATGTGATTAGAAGAACTATTTTTCTTCACCCAAGATCGTCCAGACAGATCATAGATCGAAAGGAACTGGCTATGTAGTGGATGAATTTGGGCAAAGAAAAGATTGTCTGTCTGTGTATAAATGTGGAACCAATTATCTAAATAACATAACTAATCAATTTCCACATGCTGAATTAATCCAAAATGAACATTTTAAATAGATGTAAATAATCCAACAAATATAAATTGTGCAAATAGAAATGTAAGGTATATATTTGGTTAATTTAATAGAAAATTATTACTTTCACATCATAGTTTTTAGGGTTAATTATCGCAAAATTCTTAATTACAGCATAGTTTGCACAATAAAAATGTTCAATGATTTGTTGCACGTTTTATGTGTTAATGTTATATATTTTGTGTTCAATATGTTATTACATCAACAAATGACGTTTTGGAGATTTACTCCATCTTCAGGTAGATAAGATTACAATTTGAATATTGAATGTTATATAATGTGTACTTATGTAGTTTACAGCAATATACATGAATGTACAAATCTGCATTTGCATCTCAAGCATAACAGAGAGGTTCAGATTTGATTACCACTATCTCTCATTGGCTTAGTATGCATCTGATTGGTTGATTGGATATATCAAATGCATCTGATTAGTTAATCAGATATATCAAACGTGTTTGACTGGTTAATGATCCCCTTAATGTAGAAGAAGTCAAATCTGGTAGCATTGCCAAGAACAGGATTTTATCCCGAGATCTTGGGATTTTTTGAAGCAGTGGGGATGTTTTTGGGATTTTTATTTCAAAAAGTCAATCTCGGGATTTTTTAAAAAGTTCGAAATTTAGAAATCGATTTTTTGGTAAAATTGACTAATAAACAATTTTGCTAAAAATCCAAGGTTCGTCCACTCGTATTTAAACCGTATTGAGCTACATATTCGATGTCATAATTTGACATTTTTTATCCTATCTGAAATATTTTGGGAGCTTACTTGGGATTTTTACAACATTACAGTTGGCAACGCCGATTTAATCTGGACCTCTCTAATAATATATGTTTATCCTCCGGTTCTCTAAATTGTTGTTCGAACGTCACAGTTCATGTCTATTCCTGGCTGTGCGTCTCCCTTATTTTTAAGTTACAGTTCTTGCTTATAGCTTACTCCTGGAAATTAATTTATCATATATTTTGTCTCTTTGAATTTTCCTGTTGGTGTTTATCAACCAATCTTGATACTTGAACTCTGAAGTCCGCTCAAACAGCAAACTTGCAATATGCGTCGCGATTAATGCTGTTAAACCCCAGATGATATGGACACTGTCATTACTTTCCCCAAACTCAAAAAAATCCACATTTGCTTTCATTTCTCCGTCTTTACCGAACGCATACTCCTTGCATTTGTGATATTTCTTTAAGACAAATATCTCTAAAGGTACCGTCAAAATCTCACACACTTCAAAAGGGTTTAATCTCGGAATAAAAGTCTTGTAATTCAAGACTTCTGCAACTACAGGGGTGACGAGAAAATTCGTTTGTGTCACGTAAGGTAAACTTGTGCCAAGTATTTTCAAATGCTCAGAACTCATGCCAATTTCTTCTTGTGTTTCTCTTAAAGCCGTGGCAACAATACTTACGTCCCCCTTGTCTCGTTTTCCACCAGGAAAGGACACCTGACCTGGATAGTTTGTCAAATTCATTGAACGAACTGTTAGAAGAATATATGGGGTGCCATCTTTAATGATAATTGGCACTAAAATAGCGGCATCTGTCAGTGTTTTAGACTGAATATCATCCAAATTATATCCAAGGCTCGAAATAGCTTCGAGTTTTGCTTTTAATTTATCCAAAGACCACATAATAGCTTCTAAAAATTGAATTATTTTCTATTTTTTTTATCAAAAAGAAGCGGCCATATTGGATTTTGCATTAAATTTCCGGCATTTTCCACTTCATCGCGTTTTTTGTCCCGTCTTTCTTGCCAGACAACAACAACATGGCGACGCTATGGACGCGATTTGAGTTGTTAACGTAACTTTATTCATTCAAAATACAAGGAAGAAGGACTTCAGAAGCTTCAAAAATGCAGGAGGAAGATGCTAGATACTTGAAAAGGTACGCAGTACTTACCTTTTTATGTTTTCTGTGCGTGACTTTGAAATATCGAAAGCAACTAAGCATGACAAGATAAATGGCCTCTCATTACTTTTGTCATTTTGATACTAGACGTGTGAAAGCAGGGTCAATTGATGTTCATCCAACAGAGAAAGCTATTATTGTCAACTATGAGCTGGAGGCCACCATCCTTGGGGAAATGGGTGACCCCATGTTAGGGGAAAAGAAAGAATGCCAGAAAATGTAAGTGAATTGTTAATTGCTGAAAATGTGCAAAGTTTACCATGATTATTTCTAAGAATTTTTTTGGAGTCTGTCATCTCTTCTCCCCTTGCCCCATTCCCCTATTATTGTACTCACCAAAACCCCCATTATACCCCCTTACCTCCTCAATTCCCAAACCTCTCTCACTCTCCCCTTCCCTCTGCCTCCCCTAACCCCCAACCCTGTCCACTCCTTTACTTTTAACTCCCTCAATTCTACCCCTGTCCTAACTGTTCAACTACCCCATGCACTTCCTATCCCCCATTCTCTTCCTATCCCCCATTTATTTCCTATCCCCCATGCACTTCCTATCCCCCATTCACTTCCTATCCCCCATTCACTTCCTAT